ACAAAGCCAAGAGCATTCCTTGGAAAATGCTGGAAAAGCGTTTGAAAATCCTACAAATCCAACAGAAAATGTGACAAAATCTAGGAAAAATCAAGGGTATAGGCGCGAGTACAACAATGGAATCAAATAGGTTAGCAATAGGTTAGCAATTTTTTGGGAAAATCTGGGAACCCAAAAACAAGAGGAAATGCCACAAAATCCTTTCAAAAGCATACAAATTCAACCGAAAATGTAAGAAAATCTAGATAAAGCCAAGAGCATTCCTAGGAAGATGCTGGAAAAGCCTTTGAAAGTCCCACAAATCCAACAGAAAACGTGACAAAATCTAGGAAAAATCAAGGGTATTGGCGGGGATCACGCCGCGACCACCCCGGGATTCGAGCCCGGGACCATTTATGGACCGTGCTTATTTTCTCGCGCGGGTGGAGAGGGTGCCCCAAGATGTAATTAATTGGGATGGACAAATCTTGGACAATGCACGTCGACATTTTGTCGAAATTTTGTCGCAATCTTGGCGAATCTTGGGGAATCTTGGCGGATTTCGTCACTGGAGGGGTAGGGGAGGTAAGGCTAAGGCTAAGGCTAAGGTCTAAGGCTAAGTCTATCTATAAGGTAAGTCTAAGGCTAAGGCTAAGGCTAAGGCTTCAGGCTAAGGCTAAATCAACAGTCACGCCTCACCCCACGAGTGGGGTCGGCGGATTTGCCAAGAAGGGTAACAAGTAAGGGGAACTTGAAGAAACAGAGCCGGGGGCAGCACCATTGAGAAGCAGGAAAGACGTTGCCATATGCTCAGTGAATTTGACATTGACCAATCCTCAAAGGCTTACCAATCCCACAGGTTTTTTGTCAAGCCATTGTCAGCCTGTGTCCGCCTTCTCTGATCCTCGCTGCGTCCTGTTTGGCCACTCGCTCCAGGGCTCAGCCCTACCGGCTGCGCGCGCTGTGCGCTGCGTGAAGAGGGCGAAAAGAGTGATGCTGCAAGGGCTCTGGATATTTGGGAAGGATGTTTTCTTCATTTTTCCCGAATGCGTAGCGAAGGGTTCCCGTTTATAGTTGGGGGTCTGGGGGTTGGAGCTGTGTTCGCGTGGCTTGCGTCGTCTCGTCGTCTGTCGTCGTCTCTCGTCGTCGTCGCGTCTCAAATTTGCTGCCATTGGGGGAAGCTTTTGCAAGTGACTTTGCATGGACGTGTCACGTGTCAGTTGGCGCCGCTAATCCATTGTGATTTGCAGGAGCAGGACATGTCGCGCGAGAAACGTGATGCGTTTCGCTGCGCAGGTGCAGCGTTTTGTGAGATCGGCAGATTGCTCCGCAGTTCCATTGGGATTAGCGTTTGGAGAGTCGTGTTTTTGGGGTGTTGGATGTGGCCGTGCCATTGGGATTTGCGTTTCAGGGTGTGGCATCGAAGCTCGGTTTTCGTGACAAGTCTCAGCTGAAATGGCGATTTTGGTGGATGGGAGTGTGCTCAGAACGGGTCGAAATCATTCCAAACGTGTGGTGTGGTGCAAATTTTGTTGAAGCTCACATGAGATGATATTGTCACTTTTCGTGGCAGGCGCAGGACTTTGTGCGGGTTTTGAGGCGTGGAAGTGCGATTCTCGTGGCAGGCGCAGGGAATCGTGAGGTTGCGAGATGTGACGGAGGTGACATTTCGTGACAGGCGCAGTACTTTTTGCGCGTTAGACGTGTGGACGCGGAAAGATTCGTGGCAGGCGCAGGGAATCGTGAGTTTGTGAGTTGCGGTAGAGGTGAATGTCGCTGTCACATTGGGATTGGCGTGTGAGCGGATGTTGTTTGGAGGGGCTGGAATCGCGAAACTGCTTGGCAGGGCTGCGTGATGTGTGTGCTCCGATGGGTGTTTCCGCTTGACTTTTGGAGGAAGTCTCGTACAAAACGCTCGTTTTGCAGACTTTGACGTGTGAGTTTTTGAGGAAGTCTCGTACGAAACGCTCGTTTTGGAGACTTGACGCGCAACCCTCTGCGGAGATCGTGCGTGTCGAGTGCGCGAAATGCAGGCGAGAGTGCGATTTGTCCCATGCGCACGCAACCCTCTGCGGAGATCGTGCGCGTCGAGTGCGCGAAATGCAGGCGAGAGTGCGATTTGTCCCATGCGCGCGCAACCCTCTGCGGAGATCGTGCGTGTCGAGTGCGCGAAACGCAGGCGAGAGTGCGATTTGTCCCGTGCCCGCGCAACCCTCTGCGGAGATCGTGCGTGTCGAGCGCGCGAAATGCAGGCGAGCACTGGCGACTTTGTAGTACAACTTTAGTACGCGGGGTATCTGGGGAGCTGGAAGATGAGAACTGGTGACTCGATAGTACAACTTTAGTACGCGGAGCAATCTGTGGAGCTGGAAGCTGAGAACTGGCGACTTTGTATTACAACTTTAGTACTAGTACGCGGAGCAATCTGTGGAGCTGGAAGCTGAGAACTGGCGACTTTGTAGTACAACTGGCGACCCACAAGAGTGTCCTACAAGAGTGTCCTACAAGAGTGTCCCAGAAGAGTGTCCCACAAGAGTGTCCTACAAGAGTGGGACCAAGAGTGCGCTACAAGAGTGTCCCACAAGAGTGTCCTACAAGAGTGTCCCACAAGAGTTTCCTACAAGAGTGACCCACAAGAGTGTCCTACAAGAGTGTCCTACAAGAGTGCCCCAGAAGAGTGTCCCACAAGAGTGTCCTACAAGAGTGTCCCACAAGAGTGTCCCACAAGAGCGTCCCACAAGGGTGTCCCACAGAGTGTCCCACAAGAGTGTCCTACAAGAGTGCCCCACAAGAGTTTCCTACAAGAGTGACCCACAAGAGTGTCCCAGAAGAGTGTCCCACAAGAGTGTCCTATAAGAGTGTCCCACAAGAGTGTCGTGTAAGAGTGTCGCACAACAGTGTCCTGCAAGTGACCCACAAGAGTGTCCTACAAGAGTGCCCCACAAGAGTGTCCTACAAGACTGTCCCACAACAGTGTCCCACGAGAGTGTCTCACAAGAGTGTCCTACAAGAGTGTCCTACAGGAGTATCCCACAAGAGTGTCCTACAAGAGTGTCCCACAAGAGTGTCCCACAAGAGTGTCCCACAAGAGTGTCCCAGAAGAGTGTCCCACAAGAGTGTCCTACAAGAGTGACCCACAAGAGTGTCCTACAAGACTGTCCCACAACAGTGTCCCACTAGAGTGTTTCACAAGAGTTTCCTACAAGAGTGACCCACAAGAGTGTCCTTCCCAGAAGAGTGTCCCACAAGAGTGTCCTACAAGAGTGTCATTTGGATGTATTAGTTTTTCGATTGTGTTTGCATTCGGGTTCGTGGGTTCCATCTTGTTCCTACTGTATGACTTTTTGGAGTTGTTTTTTTCCTTTACTGATTTCAAGACTTGGCAACTTCAATGGATTTGTCTCATTATAATCAATGTGGACTGAAAACCTCCCGAAAACCCGCCAAATTTTGGCTGCATCTTGGGAGGTCTTGCAGCCTTTGTTTTCCAACGTTTGGTCCCAAAGCTAAAGGACTGAGAGATAGAAGAAGGACATCACATGGAACAACACTTGGACAGCCTGATTCTGACCAGACTGACCCAGCCTGATTTGCGATAAGCACTGCCAAGATTGCTCCTCCTGCTTCGCAGCATTGACCTAATGCTTGCTGCAAAGAGAAAAGCTTGACGTAGAAGGAACACGCTGGTAGATGGTAGCAGCTTTCTCTCCGTTCAGTTTTTAGTTTCCACTTCGCTCTTGTTTGGTCTTCCTGCGAGTCTTCCTTTTCCGCCTCTTTCCAAATAAAGAAAGCTACTGTACTAAGGATTATGAGCTATTAGGTTGGAGGCCATCGCTATTAGGGTGGAGGCCATTGCTATTACTTTCCTACTTCGGTCTTTTTTGGTCTTCCTGAGTCTTCCTCTTTCCGGATTCGGCGGGATCATCGCAAACACAGCGCAAACGATGCCAGGCGCAGGCGGGCAAGGCCTGACCTCGGCGCACAGAATCGTCTGAAGCCAGCGGGGCGCAGGCGTTGCTTTTATTGATCCCGGGTGCCACAATGTCTTATGTATCTGGCAAGTACTTGGCAAGTCAACCAGACGACATTGGTCCAAGAAAAGCTCGTTTTTCTGACTTGGCTCCCGAAGATTACCATAAGACCTCTGCCCCATCGGGCGGTGGCACACCATTTTGATCGCTTTGGGACTTCCAAGGAAGCCCGACCTGCAAACCACTGCAGATTGTCCCCCACCCTGATGAACTGAAGGCAGTCGAACCTGAAAGCATGATTGACCATGAGATTGGAGCCTTTCTCATCCTTTCTCGCTTTAAGTCAGGTCTGCGGGCTGCAGTGCGAGTTTCACCGTCAGGTGTAGTCAGACCTGCTGGTGGAAAATCCGATCCCAATGGTGACGGGATGCGACGAGCATTTTGTTGGTCATACACTCCAAGGTGCAAGAACAAGCTACCTAAACGCCGATGCACTTAAACTATTTACTCTAAGAACATATTCCTACGCCAGATCTTGCATTCCTTGACTTGGTAATTACCCTCCCGAAAGTGTGTGTCGTAGAATGAGGACAAATTTTGGGAGACAGACCCAGACAATTCGGGCAAGGCAAAGCACCGGTTTCCAACCCACTACTATTCTGGAAAAGGTTCGACGAAGGGTGCTTGTATTAGTCACAGTCTACTAGTTGGATTAGCTCGATTGTGGAAGCCTTTGGTAACTGGTGATGTTTTTTTTGTATGTTGTCCTTCAACCCACCTCGTGAGTTCCTAAGCGCTAAGAGCCCATTCAAGCCATCAAAAGGTAGAATATTGCACAACTGGAAAATCCAGAATATTGCCTTCGTCAAATCCATCACCCTGTATATAGAACTCCACAGAAAACTCACCTCTTCATTGAAATAGCATGATGGATCATACACCCTAGTCGCAGTGTTTACAGGGTTACTTTCCCTTGTCGCAATTCTGGGAACCAGAGCCCTAGGGCCCCATACGCATCACTGATTTGGCTTAAACTCTTTCATGCTTTGGAGTGCCTCGCAGTGCTTTTCATGCAAAATCCATGTTGCTCGAGAACGTCTAAGAAGCTGCCCGAAGACTGCTCGGGGCCCTGGCAAGGAAGACCGAACAAAGCTCATGGCCACTTCGTTTCGGAGTTGCCATGCTGCACTCTGCAATTAGGTACATACTCCGGATATCTCCGGATAGCATATCTGTCTATAATTGTCTATCTGATTCTATCTGTCTGTCTCTCAGTCTGTCAGTCTGTCTGTAGTGTAGTGTAGTGTAGTGCAGTGCAGTGGAGTGCTATGGTATGGTATGTGGTATGGTATGGTATGGTATGGTATGGTATGCATGGATGTATGTATGTATGTATGTACGTACGTACGTTCGTATTTCTGGTGTACATTAATGCATAAATTATCATCATAACATGACCCTATATGTTGTATTGTTCCACATTCATTGCTATGCCCAGCTTACTGAAAGCTCTGAATTGTTCAACATTCACCTGGAATCCTGGAGTCCTGGGCAAATCCTGCAGGAGATTTCGTTGAAACAAACATGAATTTCTGATTGCTGCATGTTGCAGTTTCTGTTGTCGTTGGAGGTCCACAGCTAAAGCTGCCAAGAAGCATCATTGAGCATGAACATAGAGGAGATGACTTTGCTTCAGATGTCCACCGTGGCTTCTCATCCTGCGGCCTGCGGCTTGATTGAATCTGCATGTCGGCTCCAGGTGAGTCATGGCAGATCGGCGCAAACATCGTCGGCCTGTGATTGCTTCCATCGTTGCCTTCACACTGCTGGGCTCTGAGATGACCTGCAAAGTCGTGAAACACGAGCTTCGAACTTGACCAGAACTTTTCCTAGGGCCCAGGCCTTGGGCCATACTGTATGGCTGTGGGAAATCAGGAGTTCCAACTTCCGACGAATTCCAACTAGTTCTGTATGAAGGCACTTTGGCGACTATGGAACCAACCAATGTGTCAGGCTTGGACTCTCTTGGACATGGTCTGCTACCTGCTTCGGCCGCAAAACCCAGAGTGCACAAAAAGATAGCTCAAAAAATGATGTCTTGGCCTGCAAGATAGCAAGTTATTGAACGACAAGATCTGAAAAGATAGATAGACAAGTAAGTTGAGTTTTACCATGCACGCTGATGGTGACTTTGTTTTGAATTCGGGAGACAGCGTGCCCATATTTTGAATCCGGCTCTGACACACTGACACTGAACTTTGACAAAACCTTGTTCGTGTATAGCAGTGTGGCGGTTTGACTAAGGCAAGAAGGGCAGCAAGGACACTGCATTTTTCTCACCGTGAAGGATAGACCTGGGCAATGCAGTTTTCTGTTGCCAGGAATTGCCTTCAGATGACAAGGCAAAGATTGTGAGCCTTGTTGGCCGAGAGGCAGCGTGGCTTAGAGTTGCAGCGAGTCAATCGTCAGCGTTTGAAGATGTGCTCACTCAAGACACCTCAATTCAGCTTGTTTAATCGCCACAGTACGTAGCTAGCAGTCAGTCAGATGTTGCTCACCCTTGATTAGCTTATCTTTGACTTTAAAAGTTTCTGCAGGGCAACGCGCACCCTTCCCGACTATATATATAATATATATAGATACAGATACATAATGATTTGCTTGGCGGAACTTCCTCAGGTTGTTGACAGCAGAGGGAATCCCACCGTTGAAGCAGAGTTGACCACAGGCAGTGTGCTGCAGGGCTTGCAACCAATTTGTTTTCAATTCAGAGCTTCGGTGCCTTTTTGTGGAGCAGTTGAACGTCTTTTCAAGACTTAGTTACGTGGAGTTAAATCTTGCTAGTGCTGGGCTAACCTGTTGAATTGACGGTACTGCTAGTCGAGAATCATCGGGATATATTAATCATATATAAGTCAAACATCACAGGGACATGGGCGTATATTAAAATAGGGAGGCCTCCCAGTTCGAGTTGGAAGGCGAGAACAGAGAAACGAAGGCCTCCCTAAATCCATCCGGTGGGGTTGGATCTCCGTCCAAATCCATTGCGCTTGGGGTTGGTCCCCAGGGTGAACACCTAAACGAAGGCCACCAGGTTCACCAGGACACTCGTTTTCCCGGCGAGGCTATGGCACGGTCCGGGCCATCGTGCCCAGCGGTGCCTCCACCGGGATCTACGAGGCCACCGGGATCTATGGGACCACAGGAACGTGCTTGGTCAAATCCCCCTAAAGGGTCTTGATATGTCTTGATGAGCATTTGTTGACGTTGACGAGATGTTTGGGCAAATAGCCCCGAACGTCAAGAAGCCGAGGCTGTGTGCCGTGCACATGCGTTCACATCAGAGTCAAGATATGTCAAGTTATCTCATACAGTTACATCTTCAGATATCTCATAGATGTTTCGCAAGTCATGCTATGGTATACAATACAGGGCAACGGACTTTCAATGACTTTCATGCAGGCTTTGGAGCTTCGAGATGGGGGAAGTCGCTACAAAGGAGAGACGACACAGCAATGGAATAGCTGCTTGACCTTACACCATAATATATGATATGAGTGAAATGACATGAAATGATATGACACTGTTACTTGTGTATTGAGAAGGCCTGGAAACTGTTTCCTGGCCCAAAACAGACAATTTTGCGGTCAGCAGATGGTGCGGAGGTTTCACAAAAGGCATTTTCTGTTCAGCCCAACATTAGACACGACCGGCTCGCATAGGCATAGGTTTTCTGAGACATGGGCCATCATGGGTCGACATGGATGTAGGTCAAAAACCAGCTACTCCAAAGTTATGGTGTAGGTATCAGGGTCTACAGTAGTGGTCTTCACCCACAGCCAGTAAATCAAATACAATTCGAGGTGATTGGAGGTGCTTCAACTCTTCCGATGATGCACACCTCTGCTCCAGGAGCAGGTGTCACTAAGGCGGTCTCGAACATCAACCGGATCATTGCGTGCAGACTCCAAGTTGGGGTTGTGACGAGTTGTGGCAGAGGCTTTGAGGTCCACCCTGTCACCTACACAAAAGAAGTAAAAGAAGGGGAACTCTGGAGTGAAAGGTAGATCCGTGTTCGCAGCCATACCAGAGAGTCACGCAGCTTTTTGCGACACACATTTGATTGGGTCGAGATCGGTAAGGCCCAAGCTGAAGGGCAAAGACGTCCGATTTCAGAAGGACATTGACGATTTTATGGCCCAAAGCCAAGGAGCTTGCTTCATGTGAGACATAAGACCAACTCCTAAGATGTCGTAAGGCTGGTACTGCTGGCAACTGCCACCTTTGTCACTTCATGAGTCGCGGAACTAGTCAATTCCAAGCTTCAGGGAATATTAGTATTGGTGTTGATGAAGCTCATACTTACATTCTAGGATATTCTAGGTTGATTTGAGCTGCCAGACAGGTCCAAACTCTTGATGGCTCGCAGAACGAATGGGGCTATCCAAAGGCGGAATTTCCTTGTGTTGGAATTTGACACACATGGGCCATGTCTCAGACTTCATTGCTTTTATCCAGATCATGGTCCCTTCAGATAGAAGTGGATCTTCTATGATCCTCCCGCCGCTGATCACTCGACGGACTTTGGCACAAAGATGAACAGTATGATGCCAATTTCCACTATATAGTCACTACCCTGACATGTGTTTGGTTTTGAGCAATGCACCTCAAAGATTGCCAGTCCAAGCTGGGCGCCAATGCCATTCTGGCGGTGTCCATGTCACGTCCTGAGCGATCAAGGGGAGCTTTCGTCTTGAAGTCTTGCAAACCATACATCATCTGACAGAACAAGATGGTACAAGTGTGTACAAGTTAGATCGGATATATTTGCAAAGAAGCTAATTATATCGGCTAGTGCAAGAATAATAAGACTTAAGACGTGTTCAGGTGTTGTTGTTCTTCAGTTGCAACCAGTGACAGTGTGTAGTTTTACAGCTACATATCTAGCTGATGACACAGAGAGTCTTCAGCATACTGCAGAAAAAGAACAACATGGCAGAAGAAGAACCGCTCTAGAGACCGTTTTAGCATCACATCTGTCTCCAAGTGCCATTTGAGCCTGTATCATTTGTCCTGCCCAAAGCTGTCACGTATTAGATAGACACACTTTTGGGTGACCCCAAGAACATCCATTGTCGCAAATCTTCAAACCTGCACTGGATTCAGCACTCTCAGGGCAGTGTGCCGCGCGGGCGCAGAGGCCTTTGGCCGGGAACCTCAGGTTGTGGAAGCTGCGGAGCACTCTTGATGCAAGACATTTAGGTCTTGACCAGTTTTCCCTGTTGGTTCAGGTCTTCGAAACGTTCGAACTATCGGCTGAGCTGTTGTCGGAGAGTCTGTTGCTCTTGGAGTACAGGTCTTCAGCTCTTCGAGTACATCGGAGAACTGAAGGAGACGAAGTTTGAGGTCGGGACCTCCGAACTCCGAACAGCAAGGGCCGAGGCCGTGAGGCCGAGGCCGTGGAGCTTCACATGGTTCTCGTGACTTTCTGTGTAGTCTATAGTTGGACATGGACTGAGATTAAAACACATGCATTGCAAGAACCAGGTGTGTCTATCATGTTGTCTATCATGTTGCGTGTGTTCTATGTACTGTACTACAAAACTATGTAAGGCATTGTAAGGTGGTATCCCAGGCAATTTCAGCGGATTGAACACGACTGAATGCTAAGGTTGAGCAAATCGATGTTCAGAGGGCAAGAAGAAAGTCTTACAAGATGACCAGAGCTCAGATCTTCTGATGCACTCACTTATCATGCTTATTTGCAAGACACAATCCATGCAGTCATTAGACTAGAGTAAACACGAGTGCTTCCTAGCAAGACCTCATCAATTTAACGGCTCACAAATGCAGAGCATGTTCCTACGTCGTGGCTATAAGGGTTGGGACATTTCTGTTTCACAGTGCATTGTGTTCATTTGTGTAAGACAGAATGCCGTTGTTCTTGGGTGCTCATCCCTTCCTGGGTTGGACACAGGCCTGTCCCCATGATGAATGTCATCAACGGCGGCCGGCATGCCGGCAACAAACTTCCAATGCAGGATGCTTTGAGCTAATCGAACGGCTGGATGTGTCCACGCGTTGCCCAGAGGTGTTGCCCAGCCGAAGGCTTAACTGAACCAAACTTACAATCATCATCAATCACCTAAACGTTTGGCAAGACACTAACAGAAGGCTCCCCCCTTCTATTTGCCGACCTTTGACGCAACGGAGCTTTGTGGCTCCGCTAGGAGTTCATGATCGCCCCGACTGGTGCGAAGTCTTTCAAGGAGGTCCGGTTACCTAGCTGGTTGGGCCCAAAATGCACAGCGCAAAATTGAAGAGACTGTGCATTTTTTTTATCAATACACTGACTTTAATTGATATTACCAAGGACATTACCTGATATTGTTCGCAGTCCTGGTAGTTTATTCTCTTGGGCCTTTAGCCAGCACCAGCATGAAGATGGCACGGGTATGCACGAGTCAGTCCTGCCACTGCCGCCAGGCCCTCCAGATCGGATCAGAGGCATCCTCGATTTGCCGGGCGAGGAGGGCCGGTATTCTGCAGTGATGGCTGTGTGGCCGGAGGTCTACCACTCGCTCCAGAGCGTCGTGAAACAGAAGTATGGCAAGAGTGCGGCTGCCGTCGGCGATGAAGGTCGCTACCTTCTATCATTACCCAGCCAAGCAATCAGTTTGAAGCACTTTGAACCAGAGCTGATTTGTCCTGTTCAAGTGCTTGTCTACATGAAGTCGAGTCATTCTATATCATTCTATACAAGAGATTGCGCAGAAGTTGGGTGCTGCTTGTCCTGCGCCTGTCCGTCCGAAGGCGGCTTTGCTCCTAACATCCAGGAGCAGTTGCCGGATGCAAACAATTGGATGGGGAAGATGATTTCCAGCACTTTTTAAAGCCAAAACTGACCATGTTTAGATGTTGAACACCAGCGCTTCTGTCCTTATGCTGCCATACACCTTCGAAAGAAAAGATCACAGGCTCGTCCACCTTCAACTGCCAGTCCCGGAAGTCGAACACGAGACCCGAATCGCGTCCCGGAAGTCCATGGCCAGCCTCGCCCCTTGAGCCACACATGTCCATCAAGTTCAGGAGAACGATGAGGGCTTGCAAGCCCTAGCAGAGGCCATCAAAGATGCCGGCGCAACTGGAAAGGCCGAGCAGGGAGTGAGACCGACAGGAGTGAGAGTCAGTCATCATTTTTATTTCTAGAGCTGACCGAGCTGTATCTCACGATTCAGATTTCTCCCGTTGTTTGCTCAAAGGTAAAGCTTGCGATGGACATCGCGGCCTCTGAATTCTACAACAAGGAGGACAGACTCGAACCTCTGGAAGATCTTGGTCTTGTAACACGTTCTGAACATGATTGAAACTCCTTGCTCCGAACCCCATGCCACTTCCCCACTGGTGGAAGGACAAGACGTACAACTTGGGATTCAAGGCGGGCTGCTTTGCTCTAGGTGTGTGGTGGCCCTTGACATAACTTCAAAATAGTGGAGGAGGTGGTGGTGGTGGTATCTATTGTAATTCATTACTCATAATTATGTACTCAGATTTCAGATTGTCTCAGATTCATGTCAGATGGTTTTGTTGCAAGAAAGAACGTGCAGCTTGAAGTGGCTGTGGGTCAATACCACACTGGAGGTTCACGTTGCCGTTGACCTCCCTGGTAGTTCGTTTGTTCATCAATCAGAGTCCGGACCGGCTGGGTCGAGTGGGGTCGAGTGGGTTTGAGGTGGAGAATCCGGATCCTTCGCTAATTAAGACCAAAGAAGAGCTGGTGGCCTTCTACAAGGACATCGCCTCTAGGCACAGCACACAGCGAAGCACGCGATCGTTCTGCGCAGCGAGGATCATTTTTCGCTCGTTCTTTTTTTTTCGCTGGATGGTAGTAGGCTGCAGAATGGATGGTAAATATGGTATGCGATTCCGGATTCAGAGGCTGAAGAGTTCAATCTCATGTGGCCTTCTCACTAGCTTTCCTAGACAATCCTAGACAGATGCCAGCTTGAAGGTTTCCAGTCGTTTCCATCGAAGACCCCTTCGACCAGGAGAGGCTTTGTTGATGCGAAAAGTGAAAGCTGCATTTTTCCTATGTGCTGTTGACTAGGTACTTCTAGGTTTCACTGCATATCCAACAGTCGCATATTTCCTTTGCCTGATCAATATGTGTACATATTATTAACATATATTAACATAATTATAGTTAAACAATATATTTAAATATATATAATGTCCTTGTCAATTGAACATGCTGTGATCACTGGAGCGGAGAACCTGTGCAAAGTGCAGGATGACTGGGACGCCTACAGTGGTTTGGTGGAAGAACTGGGGAAGAGCGTGCAGATCGTTGGCGATGACTTGTCGCTTGGCCAACACATCCCAAATCTCGGAATTGGTTTAAGTTGAAAGGAACATCTACAGGAATGAACACCATGGTTTCCTGTAGATTTTCCCTTAAACCAATTCTGCGACAACAGCACTTGCTCTCCCAGTGTTTTTCATTGTTGTTAGGTGCAAAGGCTGTTAGATACATCGAGGTCTCTTCAGCTCTTTCACTTGTCATGAATTTCTGTGTTTGGCACAGGCCCTAGGCTATTCAGACGGGTTCACCCGAGGCTTGTTACAAATCCAAAGAGAATCCACTATGCTCAGGAGCACAAGGCTTGGTGTCGCAGTTTTATGCACGAACTGCGGCAATATATGAATAGTCAAGAATAATCAATGATGTGCATAGATTAGATGTTCTCTTCACATCCGACGACCGTGATACCTTCAGGTGAAGTCTGTTCCAGCAAAGTTGTGTTCGTTGCCACCTGCGAGGCAGCCAATGCCCTTCTCCTGAAGGTGAATCAGATTGGTAGCATCACTGAAGCCATTACAGCCTATTTGGACAGCGTTTCCACCGGTTGGGGAGTCATGGCTTTCTCCTCAGCATCAGCGCGCAAGTTTTGAGACCCGGTTGGGGAAGACGGGGAGGAACTGTGTGACAGATGTGTTCAAGCGATGTGAAATCACAGAGAGCACTGGGCAGCGAACGCATCGGAATCTGAGGTCTCTCATCGAAGTGGCGAAACAGAGGACACCTTCATTGTGAGAGCCTCACGAGCTTGTTGATAGAGATGAAATGAATGTTTACGGATGTTTGCGGTGCATGACTTGTACTTTTCATGTACGGTGCATTTTCCTTCGTCCACACAACGATCCATGGCTTCGTCGAGTGGGCTCCAATGCGACGTTGCTGTGCTGTCCACCTGTCCATGCCCCGTCCGGGCATTCCCGGACTTCGGCACAGGACCCGGGCAGACCTGGGATTGTCATTAATGTTGCAACCCGCTTAGGCCGACTTGGCCGTCGGCTTGAGCACGGGACAAATCAAGTGTCGCCCTCGTCTGAAAACACTTCTGAAGGGCTTTGTGTGGGTAAAACCAACAGCAGGGCCGCAGGGTTGGCAATGGTTGGTGGAATCAGTGGAACTCATCAACCATCTTCATTCCGTGAGGCCTTCCAAAGGGTCTTAGAAGACTGACAAGACCAGTTGAACTTTTCCGATGCAGAAGTGATGGTTTAGAGGACCAAGTACGTCCTCCTTGCAGCCACCACCTGGCTTTCCTTGAGTTTGCAAGAGAATCTACAAAGTTGTTTTGAGACTACAGAGCAGGTAGTCCTAGGCATACCAGGTAGCTAGTAGTTCGGTTTGTACATGCCAACCGCGTCATACCTTGTCACTGAGGACCGGTGCTCCTTGCCGTTCAGAGAGAGTGGCGAAGCAAGCAGCTGAGTGTTCATCGCATCCCAGTGATGCCGATGTGTTGATCCGTGAAGTTGCCGACACCAACTTGTTCGATCGTTTGTCGCCAATCAATCTTTGTTTTGATTCAAGATGATGTAAAGATGACATGAAGAGATAAGAACAGATAAGCAGGTCGCAGTGCCACGCGAAGCCCAGGTACAATCAGCTGCTGCGAATCGAAGAATACCTGGGCCGACGAGCAAGCTATGCTTGAGTCTCACGTATACGTTGCATACTTTGGCTTGTCACTTTGTGTTGTGTCTCTGGACAACATGTTCAATCATTTCTAGCGAAGATTATATAAATCCTGATGTGATCAATTATGAACACCAGGAGGATCTTTGACCTTAGTGTGCACGATTGAGACTTTGATAGACTTTGTAAAACTGTGAGTTGCACAGATTCAGGAGACACAATAGATTTGATTGATGGATTCAGCTCAACCATTCTTTCAGGCCAAAGACATCCAAACTCTGGCCTTTCACAGTTGAGTTCTAGCTTTGCCGGAAATGTTTACTTGAGGCTGGGGAGAAGTTCCGAGACTCCTGAGAGGGATTCTCGACCATGAAAGTGACCCCATAAGACAAGGACAAAAGTACTGAGCCTAGGGCTTAGCTTGTCACTGCTCTTTTTGATTGTGATCCAAGACAACTGGTGATTTGTCAGAACCTGGCATTATTGTTTTTCGCTCGACACTTTTTTTGATCGATTAATGCGCCTTTGCACATGATGATTCGGGATCTACCCGAGATGTAGGCATTTGGACGCTGCGTCTTTCCAGTTTCAAGGCTCACGCAACATGTCGTGCCCCTGGCTGGAGTAAATAGTCCCCTGTCTGGACCACTGCTCTTGGAACTCTTTTCAAATAGGCTATATTATACTTGCTTGTGCTCCCCAGCAGACCTAAAGCTCATTTCTGTTGTCAAAGAATGACAAACCAGAAGAGGTCTGAGTGCAGCAGTGATGGACAAGTACCAATATTTAGCCCTTCGGTTTTCAACTGCTTTCAGCAGCTGACCGGCGATGGTCAGCAGCTCTGACACACTGAGAAATCCGATGTGCTTCAGAAAGTGCAACACTCAAAGGGGCTCCACTCAATCTCTCAGAAAGTGCCTGAAATGTCCTGTCGTCCCACACGAGGAAACCACCGAAACCACCTTCCACGGAGCCGAAGCGAAGACGATGCCACCGAACCGACCGGAGCGGATGGACGACACGCGTGGCACGTTTGACGAACTGGCCATGACCGTTGTTTGGTCCCTGGACTTGGCTCGACGAAGTCACGGTCTGGGAGTCACGCGGGGAGTCGAGGGGAGGGAGCCTCATGGGGTCTGGTGAGGCTGGCATGTTTACGAGCTGAAAACAAGAGGTCAAAAGGAGGTGGCGATGCGTTCCTGGGAACGCTCCATGTCATGCATGGCTTCTTTATGCTTAGTTACATACATTGGGGTGGTTGAACAGGGGTCAATGTAGCTGGTGTTTTGGATGCGTTTCCGTCCAGGGCGCAGAGGATGCTCTGCCAGTGATTGACTCACAGGATGCTCATTGGTCATGGACCAAATGACAGATCAACCAGTTCCTTACATTATATAATTATGTTCTACCCATGCAGGTGCCGTGATTCGGGGTTCTTCCTGAAAGATGAGCCCTGTTTAGCTCTCGTCGACCCCCCTGATGCTTTTCCTTGCACCGCGGCAAGCAGCATCCGCATCAGGTGCATCAGGAGGCTTAGACTGGGCAGTTCAACAGTCCTCACCGGATGAGCTGAAGGCCGCCTTAAAGGACAGAATTCTAACAAATCATCGGACTTTGCAGTCAGCACTTGTTCCGGCTGCGTGCAGCAGGTTTTCCTTTTGGTTCTGTCGGTAGCTCTGAAGCTCCCAAAGATGATACAGCAATGATGACGCTCTTTTTTGCAACGTGACGACCTGGAGGACCTACCTCCAGCATGTCGTGGCAAGCTCCAAAGTGCACTTGCAGCTCTCCCAGCGAAGCCAGCGGCAACCGGTGCCGCAGGGTTTTGGATGCATGTGCATCATTTGAATTCTGACCATAACATCTCACTGCAGTTTGGTTTGGACCACCCAGATGACTAGAAGATACACAACACGTTGTGCGTGAACATCCGATTGAAGGAGCCTAACACAAGATCAGCTGTTTCTACGTGTTGAACAAACTATGACAAAACATATTAAAATGTTTGCCACTAGCAAGCAGTCAATGTCACATGCTCACAGTATGATCCGCAAGAAGGTAGCAGTAAGTAAGGGGCGGCTAATAAAGCATTTGGCTTTATAACCTTCTGCCCCTGAGAGCTGTCGCTGTTCCATCCGTTCGTTTCCGCCCCGACTCCCTGTCATGTCAGTCACCCCAAGCCCGCACCCGATCGCGAAAACACATCAAGCCAGGTGCTCCACCAGCGGTCACCTCTGCCAAAGGCCTTCGGCTCGGCATTTTCAGTACTCATTGATTGCGCGCGTAAAATATATCAAAACACATTCTGCAATCAGTGTTGAGCTGTTCTACAGAAATGACTACTGCAGTGATTTGTAATGGCTGGCCATACTTCCAGTGTTGATGTCCGCCCGAGAGATTCCTTATACTCATGCTCCTGAAGTGGCAGAATCACCATGTTTACAAACTTGCCCAGAAAAAGCCAACAACAGTGGCATTTCTGTTCCGTACAACCCAGACCAAGCTCAGCTTTGAGCAATGATGCCAAAGCCACAATGACAAGCAATGGCAAGACACAGTCTACCAAGTCAGTGCACGGAGGATTGCATTGTGGCAACACCAAAAGGAATGCACAAGGTTCTCCAAATCTCGCGGTACAAGCAGCCTAGTCTAGTGGGGACAACTCTAAGTAAAGTAAATTTGAACTTGACCATGACACTTTCCACCTGACTGCCTGCGTCAGAGCTGAAACGAATCTCACACCGAGTCGATGGGTCCCGTCAGACGGTATCTCGTCAGTTTTTAGGGGTGGCCTGACCCCCGGAGGTGGGCTGCCTTTTGTTCCGTGCTTTTTCTATTTTTAAGTGCTCAGGCCTTGAACCTGGTAATTCTGCAGGCAATGCGCAAAAGGAAACAGGCGTGACTCCCTTTGGGCCGTCCAAAACGGTTTTGAAGATGTTCAGAGCCATGTGCTGGTTGAATAGTGTTGAAGATGACCACAACGAGACATAAGAAAAATACTCAATCATACATCATCGTACTAGTAAGTTCCTTACATTGCTCATGCGTTGTTTGTGACTCAAAAAGCCTGCCTTTGTCTACTCGCTCCCCAGAACTTGTCAACTCAAAAAGCGAAGAACTCGACCAACGTGGCCCATCCTGTTTCAGGCCCAACCTCTTGATGGACCGTCATGGCTCATCCGACTCCAGAAGGTGGGAGAGACCCGGATGGGACCCGGAAGGTGGGGACCCGTGTTCTTTTCGAACGTGTCGATTTCACAGAAAAGGTCAGAAAGATCGTATGGTATTGACAGAATCGTTTTGACACATACGACATGGACTGGATTTTCTGCTCCGGATCTGGTTGGCACTGGCAGAGTGTTTTGTTTTTCTGTTGTGTTGCATTGTGTTGTGGCTTCGGGGCGATCGCCAACATGAATGAAGCACTCAAGTCTTTGATTTGTAGGCCACCACGGACTGTTTGTCAGTACTGTAGGCTTGCCAAATCAGGAAAACACAGCAGATGCTTAGCTTTGCAGCCTCAAACAAAGATCAGCAAAGCAAGACGAATGAGGCAACAAGAGCGCGTTGCAAAAGAGGAATGACCCGAAAAACCTTGTGTTCAGGGATGTATGTCTGTCTGTGATAGACGCGTTGTTTTCTTAAAGTTTTCAAGGCAAACCCGGCAGGAGAAGGAGAGGTCATAGATGATCTTAGTGTGTTCTTATATGAAATATATATATATATAATATAGGTGATGTGATTACTGACCTCGGAGTCAGCAGCTGCCCAGACCTTGAACACATTGACATCAAATAAAGTACTATAAAGGTCCTAGTGTCCTGCAAAGCTCAGGTACAACCAGGTGCTGGGAATTGACGAATAGCCGGGCAGACCGGGAAGCTATGCTTGAGCCTTAATTAGGAGTTTTGCATACTTCGGCTCGTCCAATGTGATGCAGTTGTTCCATGTTGTTCCTTTATGCTTCTTGTTTCTACTAGCTTCTTGTTACTACTAGTAAGGCACTTGTTACTAGAAGCGATGCACTTGTTCCTAGTAGCTTCTTGTTTCTACTGCGTTTAACAGCTTGAACCACAATGACTGTAGCGTAGATCTTCATGTGGAGATGCACACTCTTGCTGAGGTTGGAGACAAGGTCACGAACTCCTGAGAGGGCTTTTCTTCCTCTGGAACAACCGACGTCGCATGACGTCGCCTACGGGAGGATTTCAGCTGGCGCATGCGTGGGCGGAAATTACAGACTGTTGAGGGCCGTTTTGCCTTTGATATGATGATGCAGTCCGACCAAATGAATGAGCAAACAGCGGCACACATGTTTTCAAACTGACGCTGTAATTATTGTATGTCAAGATCACTATCAAAGGCAAGGACAACTGCTCTGTGATTGATTAAGACGCTGACAGTTAAAGACAATCTGTGAACATCAGAGAGCTCAAAGCTGTCAAGCACGAATTTGGACTGCCTGGAGTGCCAGCTTGATTGTTTGGTGGTCAGAGAGTGTAAGCCGCCCCGGGACACTGAAATCCTTCGCTTCAGAGAAGTGTCACAATTTCGAACGACTTCGAGAGCGGCATGGATTTACAAGAGTCGGGGCAGGTGCTCGTCTGAGTATGTCAACTGGTCTCCAACAGCGCGCGCAGAGGCGATGCACTACGGCATGGAAGTTTCATTTTAGAGAACGTGGGGTTTAGCGTGGTTTGGGTGTGAGGGCTGGTGACACCTCAGATGGGAACAACCCCACGGGGTAATCTTCTGAGGCCTCTTTAGTTCCCAAACGGGAATTTTGTCTTTGCAATTTTGACATGGTGTGCATGGGAGGGGCTTGAGTGTCTCAAAGTCTTGTTGAGTCCATGTCGAAATATTGCAGCACCCTGTGATTTTTAACTTCTTTGCTCAAGCTTGATACTCTGACAGAAGGCGTTTCTGGGAGTACTCATGGGGTCTGGTGTGGCCGGCATGCTTACACATTCTTTGCGGGGCTTAAAGACAATCTAAGTGAGCGCAAACTGGTGCCCCATGCGCCATCTTTTTGGGACTTTTTCGGGGTCGCTCTGAGTCGCCTTCCACATGAGCAGAGGATCTGCACCACCGATGGAGCGATCGTGTCACCAGGTGCGTCCTTGGACTGGGCGGTGCAACAGTCCTCAGCCGATGATCTGAAGAAAGCCTTGAAGGACGGAAAGACTACTAATTGGAGCAAGAAGCTACTAGTTACTAGTAGCTCCTGGCATTACTACTAGGAGCAAGAAGCTGAGGGCATCGCAACTAGTAACAAGAAGCTACTAGTAGCTGGGTCGAACAGAGAGACCTCGAAGGGAGGCTAGAGGGCTAGGCAGCGGTACGGAGGCCTGTCAGGTGGAAGATGGCCTGTCAGTGGCAGGATGTTTGGGCATGACATGATCTACTATTCTACTATGTTCTACTTGCATCATATAATACAACAATAATATGATATATTATACTATATAATTACTGCCAGCAGTTCGATACGCACTGAGGATCTTGTATGAGAGATGCTGTGAGACAATTCTATTACATTCTAAGACCATACATCATACAACATCTTGCAGCACTTGCGACCACTTAGCTATCTTCACCTTATGGTGTCGCAAATGGTTTCTTCCACCGGGTGACGAGGTCTCTTGTATGTTTGACCAGGACTTGCCTCCGGCATGTCGCGGCAAGCTCCAAAGTGCATTGGCAGCTCTTCCACCTCCGAAGCCACCTCCAGTAGCGACAGGTGCCACATGGACAATGACATGATGCCTGTGCTGTAGATGATTTGAAGATCAACGAATCAACAGCGTCTCCAGCAATTAATTGGGTCAGTAGGTCTCAGTATCCTTGGAAAATGGTCCATGTGCTTGGTTGTCAAGCTACCATGACACTACTGCTGGATGAGCAGTCTGAGCCGCGGCAGCAGCTGAGCAGCGTGTTCTTGTGGCAACTTCATTCGTATGGCCTTGCGTTGGTGAGGTCCAATACCCTTGGGATTTATGTATTAGGGCCCTTCGGCAGGGAAAGACCTGTTGTGTTGGACATGATCCCTTCTCCCCACCGATTCTGTCAACATTGTCAACCCCTCCAAGCCAGCACAAAGTCTCGAAAGCGCATCCAGCCAGGTGCTCCACCAATGGTCACCTCCGCTACAGCAAAAGGCACGTTTTGGCTTGGCCATGTCCTGGCTGGTTGTTTCCAAGCTGTTCGGACGATTTGAATGGATCGCCATAGTTCCAGGATGATCCTGGATGCATCTTGGAAGAAACACACAAGTTTTTGCCTGACCCTGCGCCGGTGACATGCCATTCAGTCGGACCAACACCTGCAAGGTGGACCTGTGAATTGCGCAGCCATCACGAGGATCGCAAAAGATGAAGAAGGCAGTTACACGTTGATCATTGCGCTTGCTGTAAGAAGATGTCAATGTATGAGGCATGTAAAACAAGTAAAACACTCCCTTTGCAGATGTCCTCTCAAAGAAAGCATGGTCGATCTGGAGTGCGATTTTGTAGAGTCTCAAAGGCAGATAAAAAGGGAGTCTCAAAGTATATATCGCTATTAGGCATCGATAGTAGGTTGGAGGCCATCGCTATTAGCTTGGAGGCCATCGCTATTAGGTTGGAGGTCATCGCTAGTAGGTTGGAGGCCATCGCTATTAGCTTGGAAGCCATCGCTATTAGGTTGGAGGTCATCGCTAGTAGGTTGGAGGCCAACGCTATTTGGTTGGGGGCTTTTGCTAATAGGTTTGGGGCCATAGCTATTTGGGTTGGAGGCCATCGCTATTAGGTTAGGTTGGAGGCCATCGCTATATAGGTTGGAGGCCATCGCTACTAGGGAGGCTGAAGCTGGCTGGAATGAAGTGATGGGTTGAACGAAGGTCCTTGTCAAGTTACTGGATATTGTTTTACGGGGTGTTCTTTTGCAGCCAGCTAGGCGCTTGATTTTCTGAGCCCAATTTTTTTTTTGCTCAGTGTTTGGAGCACGCTGACTTTGGTGGCTTCGGACAGCAGGGGGGAGCGCAAAAGAGACTTTTTGGGTTCGGAATTCCGCACACGCGCTCAAGGTGACAAACATGTGTTATCAGAACGCATGCCATGCTTGATGCCCTCACACATGACAGATCACGACAGACTTGTTCGTGAGTAGCAGCCTGTCCCAGAAGTTTTCTCATGTTCCGATGATTTCGATTTCATCCTACACGATCCTACAAGTGGTTCTTCTTTGGGAGGCTTGAATCCACAGCCCGAAGCGCCGAACTTCAAAGGGGCGTTGGTGCAAGTCTATGTCCGCTCGGAGCCGCCTGAGACCTCAGAACAGGGTGGTAGACGATGGTAGACGTTTTGAAAGTGAACATGACATTTCCGTGAGTTTTCGCTTTGGCTTTGTAGTTCGGTTGCATGACTGTGGGACAGATTGTTGCATGTTTGTATTTTAGGCCATGTAGGTAATTACGCAACCGGTTCTTAGGTGTGCAGTGACCCCAGTAGCGGTGCCTTTGTCTCACGTGCCAAGATTCGGTGGCTTTGACAAGAGCTCTAATGGGCACCGCTATGACTCGGTGATCATTGCCAACGGAATGATTGATGCGGGCATGAGTTGCCAGGGGCTGAGCAGTGGAACTCCGGACATTGGAAGAGGACATGACACTGTGACACCTTGTTTTGTTTTTAACGGTCCACTCATCCCCTTAACTGCAGCGGATGGGGGTCGTCCCTGGCCGGACGTCCGCCGGTCCGTGTTGCACCAGATTGAAGTCCGCCGGTCCGACGCAGGAGGGATGCATACTGTAGCCTCTGGCAAATAGCTATCAAAAGAACAGGGCACTCTTTTTGGGTCACTTACCAGTGGGGAGTGAAAGAAATCATGAGCAGGGCCACCCGAACCATCGCAGCCCGAACCATCGCAGGTCAGTTGATTCACTACACTCACGAGGAGCATGACATTTTCGTGAAACTTTGTGGTCAGTTTGACTTTCTCGTGCTGCGAATTCATCCTGGGCACATCGAGGCAGGGTTACAAGGCGTCTTCACTCGGAGGGAGAGACACATCGGGTCCCAGCTAGGCCACTGATGGCATCATGACTAGTTGTGATTGGCCGGGCGGGTTCGTCGTCTCCCCTTCCAGGCCGATGGAGGGAACCAGCAGACCTTTGATGATGCTATGATCGGCTTGAGGCCGAAAGGGCGCTCGATCGCAATGCAATCTGGTTCCAGTCGTTCCACGCTGAGTTTTTTGGTCAAAGACGGTTCATGATTATCATGTAATGAATGTAATGCAGGCAGAAGGGCGTCCAAGTTTGGCCATCACCTGATGTGATCTCCAAGCTAACCTCGGTCACCGAGACACTTGAGGAGTGCTCTCAACTGTGACTCTGTGGATGAGCAAACCATAGCAAACCCAGTATATATATGAGCAGTTTCAATCATGGACAAGTAGATCCAAAAAGATTCCTGAGAAACCGGAGTAATGCATTGTGCATCAAACTCCAACTGCTGAAGGACCCAGAGACCATCACCTACAGCTCCATCGAACATTTCGCGGCAGCGTTCCCAATCAGTGTGGGCTGCTGCCCACGTGTGATCAAAGTCAAAGGTACACCGCCCGGCGGCGAAGGGATTCTTGGTGAAGGGATGTTCTGACTGTTTGATCAATGCTTTCGGTGTTTTGCTATAGGCTCAAACAGGCTCAAACCATTGAATTGAACTATAGACTATAGTGTATGAAGTAGTCTATTCAACACAAAATAGGCTAGCTGCAAAACAGTAGAACATTTTGATGAGGATGTGAATCCCTGCGGCGTGAGTTTGTCAGCGGGTGTTGGATCCACCTTCCCTTTCAACCCTTGAAATTTCAGTCGCACCAGTTTTTCGCAAAAGCCTCACCAGGTTTTCTCAGCACAACCCTCACCAGCGGTCAACTCCTCCACTGTTCTACACTTGTGCCTTCTACATAGTCTCATTCGCGTGCATGCGGGTGTGTGTGTGTGTAATTTAGTTTTCTGCCAAGGATTTGGATTGTAAAGCTCAAAGATGGAAACTATGGTGAAGAGTATGGGAAGCGCATTGCTCAAGAGACCGACACACTCCTGCTAAAGGAAACTGCAGATGGCCATGAGGAGGAGCATACGTTGGCAGAATTCATGGCATCTTGGTCGAACTTTTCTGTCCCCCCAACGCATTTTTGACATTCCTGCATGAACAGACAGAGTTTGTTTTGACACATATTTTCACCTTGTTTCTTCAGCCGAGGAATACTGGATAAATGGATGCACTGAAAAGTCTGGA